CTATACTAATTAATTTATGATATTTATCAAATTGTATTTTTTAAAAAATATAAGATTTACACATGTTATGAGGGGTTAAAACATATTTTAAAATTATTTTTTATTAGTAAGTATTTTTATTTTTAAAATATTTTCCAGCGGCCCACACACTCCCTTAGTCTACCATAAAAAATTGATAAAGAAAAGTCATTTCGTTAAGAAAATTAAAACTAATTAAAGTACATCTAATAATGCTATATTTATTTGTAACTATATATTAATTTTATTTTGAAATCATTGGTTCACATATTTGAATTATTTATTTTTTCTTTAATTATTATAAACAGAAATGATATTGTACTAATTAATTTATGATATTTATCAAATTGTATTTTTAAAAATATAGTGTTTTACCGGCAATTTATATCATGCACCAGGGTGCGCATTGCATCGTGCGTCCTGATGCAATACATAACTGTATAAAAAAATACACATAATTGTATAAATAAATACACATAATGATATAAACAAATACACATAATAACGTCAACCCCCTTCCGCGCCTCCCAAAACAACGTCGTTTTGGGAGGCGCGGGACGCACAGTGCTGCGCGCGTCGTTGTGCAGGGTATAACGATTGTGTTTTACCCGTGCGTTGCACGGATTTTTTTTTTTTATGAATTTAAAATTAAAAATAGAAAACAATGAAAATATATTATAATGTACAATATAATAATATAGTTGGATTTTTATATATTTGGTCAAGTATCTATTTTCATAACATACAAAATTTAAATTATTTTGTATGGTTAATATAATCTCTAATCATGTACATATTTAGATAAATTTATTGAAAAATTCACATAATTAAGTTTATTTATTCCTAATTGTATTTCATATATATTATAATTCTAAAAATATGAATACTAACTAAGGGAATTGTACTTCGAAATCAATAAAAAAATGTAAATTCTAAATTTTGTATGAATAAATTTAAACTCTAATCGGACGCATTTCCTTATATGATTGTATAATACATTGTATATACACATAATATTTATTAATATGTATATAGAAAAATTCTATAATATAACTTCAATAATTATAATTTATATTGATAGATTTATAATTAAAAAATTACATTTAGAAAATTAAAATGTAGCATTTAAATATTGTATGATTATTATAGTGTATAATTGTATGTAAAATTATAAATATTCATGTTTTGTTAATTTTATACTTTCATTTCTTTAATTATATTTTATATTTTATTAATTATAACTTAATGAAATTGTCACAAATATTTTTAGGGAAGAAATATTATATTTTTTTTGTTTCAATAATTATATTAATTATAATTAATAAATATTGTGGCAATTACCAAAATAATTTCATTAATTATATTAATTCTAATATTTGTTCTCTTCCAATATTTAAACACATTACCATAAAATTATCATAATAATTACACGAAAGAAGGAAAGAAAATTATTAGAATAATTACCATTAATATTAAAAATTAATTATATATTAATGTAAGTATAATTTATTTTATGCCAATAATATTATACATTAAGTATATATATATATAATTATTGAAAAGAGGATATAATTTTAAAAAGTAAATTATTAATTAGATTACATAATATAACTGTCCTACTAATTGATTTCATACTACTATGTATAATTAATATATTTGAATTTTTTTAAAGCTAAATACCTATTAATTACCTTAATAATTAAGATAATTTTTAGTCAATCAATATTCAATAGTACTAAATGTATTACTTCAAATTTTTATAAATAAGATATAATATTATTAAATCGAAATAATTAAAAATAATGTGTCCATATTACAAAAGATTTTATAATAGTAATTTTTATTGCCTAATAGAATTTGTCAATTGTTAAACATTGTTTATGGTAATTATTGTATGACATTTAGTACTAAGATTATCAGGTATAATTTTTATAATTAAGGTATAATATTAATAAACCAAAATTATTAAAAATAATGTGTCCACAATATAAAATAAATTATATTTGTCTTAAATAATTATTTATTAATATAAATTTATAATTAAAAATTTGTATCCGAAAAAACATAGCAACTGAAATTTCTGGTTAAAAAAAAAAAAATCTCTCCATTTTTTTGTCACCAATTTATAGGTAGAGAATGTGAGAATTATAAATTAATAATATAAGTTTCGTTTTCCATTTCCTTTTCTATTCAGTCAATTAGGGATTTTTATAATTTTCAGTCCATTAATAATATACGTTTCCTTTTTCAATTTGCATAATTTCACTTTCGTTTTCCAAATCCGTGTTTCATCTGTTATTCCCATACATAATATTCACGTTACTATAAATTGATTAGCAATTAATACATTTACAATACCATAATTATGCAATATTACCAATTAATACATTTTAATTAATTTACATTAAACATATGCTTACCAAATAAGATTTATTAATTATTTGACTAAAAATATAAAATATTTAATTAATTTAGTACACGAGTTTGGACGTGAAAATGATGTAGGATGATTTTACTTTATATATATATATATATATATATATATATATATATATATATATATATATATATATATATATATATATATATATATACACACACACACGTTCATATGAAATAATATTACCATACATACTTGTTAATATTTTGATTTATTAAATTGGTTACAATTTATATTATGGTATGAATAATTCTTATGCAATATACAATTTGGCAACTCAATTAATATTAAGATTTAGCGCAATGAACATATTTCGTCTTGTGTACTCATTTGACCGGAAATATGAAGGTTGGTTCAATAAATCGTAAATATTACCAATTGTTTGGTTATAAAATAATCTTTATCAAATAAAAAGTAATTAAATTGATAAATTATACTTAAAAGGTAAATATTATGGGTAATTTCCTTATATATAAACCTTTATTGAATTATTTTATTATAAGGAGCGAAAAATTTTATACATAAATTGTTTTATAATTTATTTTGATCTTGAGGTCACACACACACACACATATATATACACACTGTAAATATTACAAAATACTTGGTTATAGAATAAGCTTTATTAAGTTATATATAAATTAAAAATGATTAAATTGTTAAATTATACAAACTGGAAAACTCTTAACAAAAAATTAGCAAAAATGTAACCACATCCGTAAATTTGATTCTATTTCGTAAATGATTTATAAAAATCTGTGTGATTTTATTTCGAAAATTTCAAAGAATAGTGCAGAGTAGTAGTAAATTAAGGTAAATATTACCCAAAATTCTCAAACCAAAAACATATTTGATCGTATTGAGAAGTGAGAAATGCCTATTACATAACAATAACAAAATATAAAATTATAAGTGAAGTTGAATGTTGGAATAACTATACAATCTTTAGAGCTATTAACATATCCATCATTATTTGAATCACATTCTTTCGAAGAATATGCATATGTAGAAAAGTACCATGAATTTGTAGTGTAAAAAAAAATGTTGTAAAACAACCATATGCATAAACTAAAAGTTTTGAAATACAAACTATTAAAATTACGATCATAGTACCAAAAAAAAAAAAAAAAAAAAAAAAAAAAAAAACCTCTTTATCATGGACTACACACTCTATAGAGTTTATTGTTTCAAAACCTCTTGCCTCTGGAAGATGAACAACACGGAGCACTCCAACATTGATTCTATTCCAAATGAGTGTAGGATGAAGTTGACTACCAACAATTTCGTTGTGACTTCCTGCTACAACAATTAGACAATTATATTATTTTTAAAATAAATATATAAAAAAATAAAAGAGAAATAATTTTAAAAAATAAATGTAGTGTCAACTATTATATAATAATAATGCATATTACATGTAAATTTATAAATTCGTTGTAATTGCCAATGCTTAACATCATTGTAGTTTATCCAGTTATTGTGCGTACCTTCTACAACGTGGGCACACGTGGTGTTGGAAGTCATCAACTCTCCTTAATGCATGTAAATAGTTGCTCAGAACCATTTCAATTGTCTCTATATTTGTATCCTGCAATATTTGCAAAAGATGCAGAAAAGAAATAAGAACATAAATTAAGAATTATGCCATTGGAAAATGAAAGACGCAATACATAACTCACCCCAGTACAAAAAGGAAGAGTTATAATTTTTCTAGTCACTAATCCATTGTATTTATAGGTAGAGATAGAGAATGTGAGAATTAATTTCTTTTTATATTTTCAATCAATTTGCCTAATTTCTGTTTCCTTTTTTCATTAGAATCCTTTTATATTTTCAATCAATTAATAATATCAGTTTCCTTTTTTCAATTTATATTGACTGGATTTCACAATGGTATATTGGTATTGCATAATATTACCAATTAATAGCTTTTATAACATTTCCATTTTACATTTGCTTACCAAATAAGTTTTATTAATTTGACCAATAAAATATTTCATTAATTTGACTATAAAAGTTTGAGCGGGAAAATTACATAGGAGGATTTTACTTATATATATATATATAGATATAGATTAGGAAAAATGATCAAATCACCTATAAACTTGACTCAAAAAGTCAATTAGACTCTTAAACTTTAAACATGTCATTTTATAACTTTTTACGTAAAGTTTGGGAATTTAATTAACCCTTTTCCCTTATTATTATTATTATTATTGCTTTTTTGTCCGAATTTTTACTTCCTTTTTCTTCTTCTCTCTGATCTTCCCGGCTTTTCTATCTCACCTGACATTGAAAACATCATTTAAAAATTTTAATTCTTAGAGATGCTCTTACAATTTTAATTGATTTCTGTTTCCACAATCAATCACCACACGATTTATTAGCCTCCTTTCAACATTTCCATACAACAGATTTTAATAACATACTTTCAAACAATACTACATACAACCAAATGTTACATAGAATCTTATGCACCTAAAAAAAAATGTTACATAGAATCCAAATTGAATAAAACTACCAAATACTATATCTTTTTTTCCCCGAGATGCTAATTTAATCTTTAAAATAAAACCACACTCGTTTCCACTAACCGAACGACATATATAGTGAATTAAGCATGGTTAAAGTTGGGCAACCTTAGCATTCACAGGGCATAACGTATTCATACGAGGATAGGTATATGAGCCGTCCAATAAACTATTGGTTATAAGTATATAAGCTGTCTCCGTTAAATGATACCCATCCCAGTTGACAAATGTAGATGGATCTAGGCAGCTAGTTGCCCCCACGTTTCCGCATTGAAGATCAGGATTGAAATTGTAGGGACCACCCCCACCACAACATGCTTTTAAGGCACCTCCCGAAAATCCTGTCAAATCAGTCACATATATATATGACACGAAATTCGTTACACCTTAATTGTATATATCAAATTCATAGCGTCATAATAAAAAAGAAAGTTACCCAATGTTTCTGGACCGTCGTAAATTTGCATGGCTGCATTGAAAATATCAGTATAAATAATATTAGCATAGGGATGTCGTTCTCGCAGAAGATTGAGCTCTTTCTGAAGCAATTGGTTGTGATATGAAGCCATATTGTTGACCCAAATGAGACACCCCAAATCGTCATAGTCTTCAATGTTGGGACTTGGGTAATATGTCAAATAAGAAGCCGCACATCCAAGTGGGAGCACGCTTGGGACCATTACAGTTCTAGCACCTAACTCTATTAATTTCTGCATTTATTGATCGAATTAGTTTCGTCTATCATTTTCATCACAACGTTAATTAATTGTACAAAAACAGAAAACACTTACATGTGCACCCTCAGCAATGGCACGGGCAACAATAGGGATAAATGGTTGGATGACACTAATATTTTTTCCAGATAAAAGTGAGTGAGTGTAGTCATTGCCACCAAATTCCCCTAACACAAATAAAGAGTTCTCCAACAAGTTCTTGCAATCTGTATTTTTAAAAAGATAAGAATAAATAATAACAATAACAATAATAATAATATAGGAGTTTAATTAGATAATTAAATATCTTTAAATTATAATTCCAAAAGTATTAAAAAAAAAGGTTGTATATAGGTTGCTACCTAGTTAATTGTATCATTTCTAAAAGCAATTATAATTATACAAGTCAACATTCGTACCTAGTATTACTTTAGAACTTTTGTATAACACAAAATATATACAAGTAGTAAAAAAAATTTTTATTAAATCTTGCATGTAGCTCTTTCATTATATAAAAGTCTTCAATTATTTTGTTGACAATAATTTTTTCGGTAATTAAATGATATTCATTTGATTAATTGAATATTTTAAAATTTAAGAGATTGATAATTAAGAATACATATATTAATTTTTATAAATGTCAAAACTAATCATTTAAACTGGTAAATATACATCTTAAAAATATAAATAAATAAATAATAAAAATACACAATAGATTATTATTTTTTAAAAAACAACAATAGATTACTATTAAAAGACGAATATAAAATAACATATTTTATTCTTATTATAGTAACGCAAATTATGCCGTGGAAACTATTATAGTAACGCAAATTATGCCGTGGAAACGTGTTCACCATGAATGGTGAACACGGTCCCAAATGGCGTTGTTTTTACGAGAAAAAAAATAGTTAATGTGCTATTAACGGCGTTTTGTATTCTATGTTCAGATTATAAATTTAGATTTATTAAACTATGAATTTTCTGTTATGAGATTATGAATTTACAGTTATGTAATTATGAATTTTCTATAAATTCATAATCTCATAACAGAAAAATATTTATTAAATTATGAATTTTCTGTTATGAGATTATGAATTTACAGTTATGTAACTTTGAATTTTCTGTAAATTCATAATCTCATAACAGAAAATTCATAATTTCATAATTGCACATTCATAAATTCATGTCTGCACATTCATAATTTATAAGTGTTGAAGAAGCTTGTGCGAAAAAGAAGTGAAACCACGAAATATAAAAATGAAGAAAAAAAGTCGCGCTGTTAAAAAAAAAAAAAAATAGAAAATAGCGATGTCACAAGCACCGTTACCGTTTGGGACCGTGTTCACAATGGATGGTGAACACGGTTCCACGGTTCCACGGTATAACGATTGATTATAGTACTACGTAATATATACGTACTAAATATTTTGGGATGGGGCAGACCCCGGCCCTACCCCAAATGTACCTCCGTCACATATATAAGAATAATAAATATTTGTATCAGCAATTATATTGGTTGAACTTATCCATCCAAAACGGAACATGTTGTCGGTCAAATTACAATGAGGTGTTTGGTAAATAGTTGTTAGCTAATTAGATTAGTGGGTTTGAATAGTTGATAGCATTAGTTAATTATAGAAAGATGTTTAGTAAATTAACCGTTAGCTAAGAACTATTTCATGCAAAATGACTTTCTCAATAATGTTATTGAAAAAGTTACTTTGAACATTTTTTAAAATTTTAGCATTTTGAAGTATTACAAAAAAACTAATTAATCAAACACTTATATATATTGAAAATTTAACAAAGTCAAACAGCTAATAGTGGTCAAATAAGTCAAATTTCACTAATAAATTATAAAATGTTGGTAGTTACCAACATGGCCAATATGTTCTTATCCAATACAAAACTGCAGGGCCCGGGGATTGTTAATTGCTTCACGACGCCATACTTAAGGACGATATATTTGATTATTTGTATGAATGACTGGGTCAAGACTTTTCCCATATTTTAAAACAAAAATGGGTTAATTAGTATTCAAAATTAAAGATATGATCTGAAGCAAATCTTTATATTATATACGTACGGCAACATGATCTTATGAAATGAATAAACTAATATTTCTGGCATGTGATGCCACCTGGCTCGATCTATTATCATGTTTGACTACTCCTGAAAGAGAAAAAAGAAGGGAAAAAACTAAGAACATAGGTTGTGAGGGTGAATCAAATTAAACATACCCGAAGGTGAGTTGCAGAGCGATGGAATCATATCTTGGAACGCATGCAATTGGTCATTCATGGAGACGTTGGTGACGGTATCATAAATGTCTAGCTTTTCGTAGAATTCTGCCGGCAGTGCACGCGATCCCACCACCGCGAAGTTAACCCCTTGCTGGATATTATCTCCGCCGGTTTGAGCTTTACGGCTGAGCGAAGGCGGCGGAATCGCTAGTCCATAATACTCAGCTGCAAGTTTCACAAAACATCATATCATATATATAATATATTCACCTAATAATGGAACTTTAATTTACATCCATAGTAATAATATATATATATATATATATATATATATATATATATATATATATATATATGTGTGTGTGTGTGTGTGTGTATGAGAGGAGGGTCAAGTAGACCATCGAACTTTAGCTTAAAAGTCCATTAGACTCCTAAATTTTTTAAAGGTGCAATTACACCCATCAATAATTCATTTAGGTGCAATGAAGCCCTAAAACAAGTTAATGACCTGCAAGGTTCAGGTCACTTTCCGGCAAAATTTCCAGAAAAAAAAAAAAAAAAAAAAAAGTGACCGGTGAAATTTCCAGCGGTGACCGTTCGTCGGTCGCCGGTCACTTTTCTTTTTGTCAGAAATTTCATCAGTCGGTCGCCGATCACATTTTTTATGGACAATTTCGCCGGAAGGTGGCCTGAACCCTAATGACATGTGATAGCAGGTCATTAACCTGTTTTTGGACTTCATTACACCTAAATGAATCGTTGATGGATGTAATTGTACATTTAAAGAGTTTAGGGACCTAATTGACTTTTAAGTTAAAAGTTCGATGGCCTATTTCATCCTTTTCCATATATATAGGGATATACATACCGATTAAATCGAGGATGACGCGGCCGTCGGAGCAGCGGCCGGTGGGATGGCCGAAAAAGGTTTCTCCATAAGGAGGGTAGTACATGTGGGGAACGGAGCCGTCAGTCTCGAGGTGAATGAGATTTCCGGCGTCGGTGAGGGAATCTCCGAAGCCGAAGATGGCGGTGTAGCATGCGGCGGTGCTGCCAATAATGCACGCTAACAATATTATAAGGAAGAAAGAAAGGGAAGAAGAAGAAGGAGCCATGAGAGAGGTAGTTGAAGAAGCTAAGTAATACATATAATACTTAAACCGGCGACTTCGTGTTATATAGATGTGGGATGGTCGGAGTCGTGTTTCCGGTCCCACCCAGATTCATATTTTCCAGTGGTCACCCTGATTCTACTTTCTATAAGCATGCAAATAAAATTTCACTTTTTCAACTAAAAAACAGTAATGGTGAAATACGATAAAGATTCATGCACCAAATCGAACACACTATTGAGTATTGAAGATGGAGTGGTTGAATATTGAAATTCCAATATACTTCTTTAATCTGCAAAAATTAAATGGTTATTAGTCACATGGACCGGTTCTTATCTAATTTGATATGATGATGAAAGCTCAACCTTCCCTCTTGAATTACCCTTTTTTGCTATATATATATATATATATATGAGTAAATTTCAATTTTAGTCATATTACTATAGGATTCTGTTAATTGCAGTTCACTGCTTTTAAAAGTGTTAATTTAATACCTTAACTATGTAATTTTTATCAATTTTGATCATCCGACTAAATTGTCGATCAAATTTCGCCGGAAAAATCGGGTTAAAAATTGACTTTGCTTAATTTAGACCATAGTTCAAACGAAGAATTTGCCTCTCAAATTAAACCCTAGTTAATGAATTAAGTTTTTCGGCGCAATATGATCAGAGTGACCAAAATTGATAAAATTACATAATCAATGTATTATATTAACATTTTTAAAAGCCGTGGACTGCAATTAACAGAACCTCTATAGTCACAGGAACAAAATTGAAATTTAATCCTATATATATTCTCTCTCTTTCAACACCCCGTAAAAGTTGTTTATTTATTAGTCATATTGAGTTATTGACCATTCTTCTTGTGATCTAAGATCTTTTGCCAGCAATAATCATAATATAATTTTACTTAGAATGTACATTAAGTCAATAGCTAGCTACGGGCTATCCCATTAGCCATATTTTAATTTATTATATTTTATAGATCAGATACAGACAATAATTTGTAAGCCCATGTGTCATACTTGCAATAATAGCGCCAAGCCTCTCACTATACGTACACTTGCTTATTAATTTCTTATCCAACATTGTTGTAAACATTACATTAGCTTTTGCAATAATTCATGGGCCGGGAATGGAGTTACAAATATTATATGTTATCCTTAGTATGACCTTCAATATATTGAGAGAATAATATATTACTATAAAAATATTATAGGCACCGTCTAGGCACTAAGCGTCCCTAAACCGTGATACTTTTTCGGTGTCCCCCTATCGCCTAACTCGGCCAACTCGGCCGCCTAGGCAACCGTCTAGCGCCTAACTCAGCCGAATTAACTTGTCCATTTCGGTCGAGATAGCCGAGTTAACCCAATCAACTCAACCTTGCTAATTTTTTTCATTATATATATAATAGGACATATATACACAATAATACGCTCACACACGTGCACTGTTTTTTCTTTTTCAGTAAGCCGCATAGGCGCTACTCTACCGCCCGACTAGCGCTTAATGCAACCGTGGTTATACTACTTGCTATATTTATCACAACCCATTGTGGCTCATTTTTAATTCATCTAATAGATTTGTATTACTTCATCACAGCCATGTTAATTTAATTCACCAAATTTTACATATATGCCAAAACACACTTGATTGTCAATGGTAAGATGTTTAATTATTTAATATATTTAAATATTTTATTATGTTTGAATTGCCTAATTTTATAATTAGTTCATGTATCCAAAAAATTATTTATAGCTTTAAGTAACAAATAAGGAAATAGTCTTTTCAAATACATTTTGACAAAATATACAAATAATTTAATCAATTGACATGAACATATTATATATGTTTAATTTCAAGCACGTATTATTATTTTTTAAATTATTATAAATTTCTTTTGCTACCAGTTTAAAAAGGCTTCTAAAATATGGCGCCGTTGTGCATACACAAATTCCAATCGTTATATCGTGTACCCGGGGCCCAAACCGATATGTTTTGTTAAGTTGAGTGAAGAGTTGACGCGATAGAATTTATGTGTATACTATTATACAATTATGTACATTCGAAATAGGAAATTTTTTTAAGAGTTAAGAGTTTATGTGTATTATGTATTATGTTAGATTATGCGTATTATCCTTTAAAAAAAAATTATGTATATTATCTTAGGAGTTTATGTACATTCTATTATACAATTATGTACATTTGAAACGTTAAATTTTTTTTTTAAAAGAAATTAACAGCAGACACAAGAAACAAAATTAAAAAAAAAAAAATGGCGTCACTTTGGGCCAAGGTGCATTATGCGTCCTGGTACACGATATAATTTGCTCACAAATTTTAACCAACGAAAGAGATTTATAAAAAATAAAATAAAATAAAATGTCATTGAATTTAATAATCGCCCATGTTCAGTTGAACTTATTAAAATATATATATCTAAAACTATATCCACGAGGGCTTGCAGGTCAGCACAACTAAGCATATCTTAGAGTATCAACTTTTTCATAATAATTAATGAAAATAATACTTTTAGTTATTCAATTATACTCGGATGTAAATTTATAATTTTTAAATATACTACATTTACATTTCCATCCTATAGATTACAAAATTCAGACTTTCATGCTTAAAAAAATTCCAAGAGTACAATACCATGCCATTTATGTTGGGTTGTCCACAGAAGAAGACAGAAAACACAAATCATACCCCTTGGTTTTGCTTACTTCATTGTACATCTGTAATGTTACTTGTCAAACCTTAAATAGCACCCACCTTGGCATTTTTTTAAAATATGAAAACAAAAATCAAGGCAATTGATGATAGGAAAATACTTAGTGTACTCTCATTTTAAATTCTCAACTTGTACTATATCTCACATGCTCTTGATGTAGACCTTTTTCTATGGACCCACCTGATGAAAATAATCAATCCTGATTTGCCACATCAGGGAGTATAAATGAGGGAGTAGAATTTTGGGAGTGTATATAGTAGAACTCTTGATGATAATATGATGACATCCAGAGCACCAATATTAACAAAAAAATCAAAACAAAAATCTAAAAGAACTAATCCTATATAGTGAAACGACGACGAAATGAGAATGGATAAGGCTAAATTAATGAAATAATATACATGAGTAAATTAGGTAATGATGAGTTCTTTTTAATTATATAAGAGTATCAAATTATATACATGTCCTTTCAAAAAAATGTGTTTTAAAAATTTATCAACCAAACATTGTGTATGACTTTCTATTTTTAGTGTTACTGACTCTATTACAATGAAACATTATGTATGACTTTCGGTCACATTCTTTGCGAACCCAGACTATGAATCAAATACACTCTAAATGTTTAAATTTTAGTGGGAAAAGGGTTAAATAGACCCTTAAACTTTAGCTTAAAAGTCAATTAGGCCCCTAAACTTTTTAAAGGTGCAATAACACCCATCAACAATTCATTTAGGTGCAATGAAACCCAAAATCAGGTTAATGACTTGCTATCACAGGTCATTAGGGTTCTGGCCACCTTCTGACGAATTTTTCGACAAAAAAAAAATGACATTCTCCGTGACCGTTTGTCGGTCGTTGGTCACTTTTTTTTGCCGGAAATTTCGTCGGTCGGTCGCCGGTCACTTTTTTTCTGCCGAAAAATTCGTCAGAAGGTGGCCTGAACCCTAATGACATGTGATAGCAGGTCGTTAACCTGATTTTGGGCTTCATTGCATCTAAATGAATTGTTGATGGGTATAATTGCACCTTTAAAAAGTTTAGGGGCCTAATTGACTTTTAAGTTAAAGTTTGATGGTAAATGGCTTAATGAATGACTTTTAAAGTATTCGTAGGCATTTTCAAATCATATTAGGTGAAAGAATAATTCAAAGATGACGAAAGTTAAGTTGGGACCAAAAACGAAGATTTGTATATTAGAAATTTAGAAGCCGATTTGACGAGTTAAAAATTAGTAGCTAATAAGAGCACGATGATGTATCAACTTGGTTTGAATTAGTATTGTAATTAAGAATCAATCATAGTTTAGTAGATGCTTAACAACCCATTTTCTAGATATTTCCTGAATTAAAAATATAATTAACTTGTTATGTACGTTATAATCAATCATAAGTTTTAATATTATTAGTCCCTTTTAACATTTTCCAACACTAACAAAGATTTTATAAATGTTGAACCATACAACCAAGAAACCATATTGAATAACGTAACACTTCAAAACATTTTTTATATTTCCCGGATTCTAAATTCATCCTGAAAATATAACATCAATCGTTTAATTTCTAATTAGAATGGCACCATCCTAAGTTAAAGTTGGGCAACCTGGGCATCGGTAGGGCATAAAGCATTCATACTTGGATAAGTATATGAGCCGTCTAATAAACTCTTAGTCATAAGTTTATAAGCCGCTTCCGTCAAATGATACCCGTCCCAGTTAACATAGGTAGAAGGATCCGGGCAACTAGTTGCTCCCTCGTCTCCACATTGCAGATCGGGATTGAAATTGTACTGACCACCCCCACCGCAACATGCTCTTAAAGCACCTCCCGAAAATCCTGTCGAGTCAGGGTGTGATTTAAAGACAAAGCTAGGTTAAATAGATAAAGGGAAGGGAAGGGAGAAATTATAAGTTACCCAAATTTGCTGGGCCGTCGTAAATTTGCATGGCGGCATTGAAAATATCAGTGTAAATAATATTGGCATAAGGGTGACGTTCTCGCAGGAGATTGAGCTCTTCTTGAAGGAGTTGATTGTGGTATGAAGCCATTTGGTTGACCCAAATGAGACATCCTAAGTCGTCGTAGTCTTCAACGTTGGGACTTGGGTAATATGTCAAATAAGAAGCCGCACATCCAAGTGGGAGCACGCTTGGAACCATTACTGTTCTTGCTCCTAGTTCTATTAGTTTCTGCATTTGTTTTTTCATCGGAACAATAAATAAAACTTAATTAAGGAATCTATGTCAGAGAATACAGCCCACCTACCTCTTATATATGCACAACCCAACTACCACTATTATTGCATTTCCAAAACGAAATCATTCTCTTTTTTTTTTTATAACAATTTTATTATGGTATTTTAATTCCATTATTATTATTTTAGATTACTTAAAAATTCTACAAAACACTTACATGGGCACCCTCAGCAATGGCATGGGCAACAATAGGGATAATTGGTCGGATATCAGTTATGTTTTTTCCCGAGAGAAGCGAGTGCGTGTAGTCATTGCCACCGAATTCCCCAAGGACAAATAAAGAGTTCTCCAACAAGTTCTTGCAATCTGTATTTAAAAAAAAAAAAAAAAAAAAAAAAAAGCATATGTAAAAATCTAATTCCATAAGTAGAAAGCTAGCTTTTCTTTAGGTTGTTACTATACATGTGCGTCTAGCTTGCTTATTTGCTAGCTAAGCTATCTGTTTCTATGTTTGGTTGCTCAGAGTGATTATCTACCTCTCCTCCTATCATTTGTAATGTTCTTATTTTTTATAGGAATTAAATTTACTTTTCTTTTAAAAAAATATCAACTAAAAGTTACAACTAATACGATGGACCTTGTGGTTCACTGATACCAAGTTGCTCCTTATGTGTGAGGTGTTGAGATTCAGCCTACGTGGAAGCAATAGTAAATTGTATATGTGGATATCACATTACTTTATAATAAAAAAGAGTTACAACTAATTGAATATTATATAATTATAATTATAATAAATGTTTGGACCGGTAAATGTTTTTTATAAAATATAATTTTATTATTATCCAATGGATAAAGAAGATACTAAAGATAGTGCAGGTAAAGTGGTATTACTGGGTCACCTTCCCCATATCCCAATTCCCAAGAAATAAAAAAATAAAGTTAAATAAATAAATTATTTTCTATTGAGCTAGCTCTACCAATATTTAGTTATAATAATAATAATTAATCTTATACGGAGTATTTTAAAATTAAAAATTTCCGTTTAAAATTACTTTTAATGAAAATTTAAAATATATAAATTTTGGAGGTGAAACATACCGGAAGGTGAGTTGCAGAGCGATGGAATCATATCTTTGAAGGCGTGCAATTGGTCATTCATGGAGACGTTGGTGACAGTATCATAAATTTCTAGCTTTTGGTAGAACTCCGCCGGCAGTGCGCGCGATCCCACCACCGCGAAGTTAACCCCTTGCCGGATATTATTTCCGCCGGTTTGAGCTTTACTGGAGAGCGAAGGCGGCGGAATCGCAAGTCCATAATGCTCAGCTGCAAGTTTCACCAACCATCATAAATCAAATTCAATAATAGATTATTATTATATATTTATATTCACCTAATTAATAATATGTAAAGCTACGGGGATGCGTATACCGATTATATCGAGGATGACGCGGCCGTCGGAGCAGCGGCCGGTGGGGTGGCCGAAAAAGGTTTCTCCATAAGGAGGGTAGTACATGTGGGGAACGGAGCCGTCAGTCTCGAGGTGAATGAGGTTTCCGGCGTCGGTTAGGGAGTCTCCGAAGCCGAAGATGGCGGTGTAGCATGCGGTGGCGCAGCCAATGCATGCTAACAATACTAGGAAGAAAGAAATGGAAGAAGACGGCGCCATGAGAGAGGTAGGTGAAGAAGAACCACGAGAGAAGTAGGTGAAGAAGAGGTAGTTTTCTGGGAAATTTTTCCCACGACAAAGCGTGTTATATAGACGATGTGGATGGTTGTGTACTTGTGAAGTGGATTATTATTGGTCAATTTGTCCGAAAAGTGTTTGTTTGTGGCACCCACCCAGATTCACTCCCATGGGGATATGATGGTCCCACCCTTTTCATAAGGTTTTTTTTTTTTTTTTTTTTTTTTTTTTTTTTTTTTTTTTGAAATTTTTCATAAAGAATCTTAACAAAATTCCAAATAACTTGTTCAGATTAGATTGTACAAGAAAGGGTTGAAATCTATGGTGTGTTTGGAAACCTGAAAAATAATTTCTGTAAATCATTTTCCGAGTTTTTAGTGTTTGGTTAGGCAAGGAAAATGGGAGTCAAATTAGAATAACTCAAAGTCAACGAAAAGTCACTCCACTTTTTCAAAAAATGACTTTCCTTTTTTTTTTTTTTGGGTACAGCACTTGCCATCTCCACGTCTCCATCAACACAATAACAAGCTCCACCAACAAATCCATCAGACCATCACCAGAAAAACTCCACCGGAAACTTCCTTATCACTGGTTTCTGCATCGGAACCAAAGGCTCCGATTTCCGATGTGAAAACCAGAGAGGTTTCCGATGACGGGTTTCTACATTGAAAACCAGCGAGACTGGTTTCTAACTGCGAAAACCAGAGACAGTTTTCCGTTGTGCAGCCAAACACAGGAAATGAAAATGTTTTCTGAAAAATGACCTCATTTTTAAAAAAATATTTTTCAAAAATCATTTTCCTTCTTTCCAAACGGACCCTTAATGTCAGCTGGAAAAAATCTAATGTATCAAAAAAAAAAAAAAAAAAAAAAAAAAACTTTAGATGTTGGGCTATTGTGAATGATGATGCATCATGTTAACGAATATTAAATCAAACTTTTCTTGTATTAGAGAAATTTTATAATCAGAATTTACATTAAATCTGAAATAAAGAATTGTACCATAGACATATAATAAAGGAAATGAAAATTGAATTTGTCAATTCATGGTCACCTAAAACATATAAAAAAGAATTGTAGACAGAAAGTAATAATGCAATATGATTCAGATTCATGTGCGCCACCGGGGATGCTATTGAGGATTGAATTGGAACGTGGAATGGTTGAATATAAAAATCGAAATATAGTTGTTCTCAACGGTTGGCCCACTTTGCTTTTATTAAGGTAGCCAACTATCCATGGTGTTCTAATCCGGTTTTTGCTTGATGTTGATTGGCCAGCCTTTTGCCCTTTGCTATTTTCTTTCATAGTATGAATTGCTGTAATATCAATGACTATATCGGTACAATAATTCGTCAAACCATAGATTATAATGAAGAATTCATTTTTATCTCATTTGTTTATTTTACATATCTATATCAATTAACGAACTTAACACAAATTAACTACAATATAATTTATCACAATAAACTAATAACTAGTCTAGTATTAATAGTATTTCGAGTTCTAAATTAATCAAAGATTTTGGGTTTGAGCAATTCGGAAGGTAGGTATATGCACCGTCATAAATGTGTATGGCTTGAAATTCAAGTGTGTGTATAATATTAGCATATAGGGTTAACGTTCACGCAAAAAAATGAAGGATAATATTAATTTAATTTCTGCATTTATTTTTTTAATTGCAGGAATGCGAATTTTAAGGAATGTGCTATATATAAGTTTTAAAATGCATTATATTACGGTCCAACTACCACTTCATGTTTCCCGCACAACTCAAAAGTCAAAAGTCAAAACCCAACTACCACTACATATTTCACTGAAGATTGGTTTGGTTTCCCTTGTTAGTTCGACAAGTTGGTCTAAATATAAGAAAGTGTATATTAACATTGTTTTCCGATTAAGGGATTGTGTTAGTGGTTTTGATTATTAAATTGTATTAACGATTTGTTGAAAAGTGTTTGGTGAAGTCAGATGTTAATTATTAGCGATTTTGATTATTAAATTGTATTACTGGTCGGTTGAAAAGTGTTTGGTGAAGTTAGATGCTTATTATTAGTAGTAAAGTTGCAAAAAGACCATAAATTACAATGGACAATATATATATATATATATATATATATATATATATATATATATATATATATATTATAATAATAATAATTTCTTAATTATATAATAAATTTTTATTATTAATGTTTACCAATTGAATGCAAACATGAGGGTATTTTGTACAATTGATTCCAGTTAATTGAGCGATTCACCTCAAAGTTGCCTAAGGCTGTCATTATCCCTGCAAATTTGAGATTGGCAAGCTTACATGACAAGAGAGAAACTTAAAAATAAAAAATAAAAAATAAAAATAAAGTGTTTTGCAAGAGAAGAGAGAATTGGCAAAATTAACAAATGGGGTGAGAATTGTCTAAGGCTATCCTTATCCCTACAAATCCATCCCACTTTCTAAAATGGATCTCACTTTCACATCATCAAATTTACAAATTCTCCATTATTTGTTCTACATCCCTGCAATACTCTCTCACTTTCAAAAGTGATCAACTTTTATATTATATTATAAATATAATAACAAAATAATATAATAAATAACTAATAAGATTTTTTTTTTAAAAGGTAAACAAGGCTGGCCAGTTTTAGCAAGTTTTCTTATTAAGAAAGCTTGCAAGTCACATGACATGTAAAATTAAACAAACAAAAAAAAATTAAAATGCCACTTAAATGACCACATCATCTTGCAAGTGTTAATATTTTTGGGATGAGGATAGCCTAAGCTGCAAAAGCATCTGACAAGAATGCCGCAACACACCTTTTGATTTATTTATTTCTTTTAATATTATTTATTATTATATTTATAATATAATATGAATGTGAAACATATTTTTAAATGTGAGAGATTTACAGGAATGTAGAATAAATAGTAGAAAATTTACAAATTTGATAATGTAAAAATGAGATCTATTTTAAAAAGTGAGAGATATTTACATGAATAAGGATAGCCTAGGAGCAAAGCCTTTGGCAGGCTTGAGGGGATGGAGGGGTAGTTGTCTACTATTTTGAGTTTTTTTTCAAAATATGTTTAAAAAATTAATAAAGGGAAGTCACAAGTAGGCACGTCAAGGTGTAAATTTCAAGTTTTTGTTTTATTATATACTCTATAAATGTGATCTGAATCAATTTAGTTTTGAGCATGGAATTCTGCACATAAGGAGCCTAAATCAAATCTAAATTTATAATATTCGTGGTAAAAATTAAACCTCCACTTTATCGCGGAAAGAAGTCTTAAATTGCTCATTCTAACATGAGGATATTTTTGTACAATTGCCCAAATTAAAATTGCTCTTTGGAAATTCAACCTTTTTCCAAAAAGAAGTCATAAATAAGTCTTCTCGATTATCAGTTAGAGCAATGGCATGGACTCATGGGACATTGTGTGTATTATTTATTCGCATTGATACTAGTAATAATAATCTTTATCATTATAAATTAACAAACAAAAAAAAAAATTAGGGAAAATAGCATTTCCCCAATTCCCCCCTGAATTAGCGCTGTCAATACGGGCTGGCGGGGCGGGGTGGGCCAAAGTCCGACGGGCTGTGGGCCTAAATGGGGCGGGCTAAAAAAGCCCGCTCCTAAACGGTCCTAGATTTGACAGGCCCGGACCGCCTCGCCAGTAACCCGCGTGCTAGGCGGGCCCCCGCCCAAACACCCTTTTAAAAAAAAAAAAAATTGTTCATCAAACATCAAACTAATTAAAATAAATTGATACATAAGTCATAACTTACATAAAACATAATAATCAAACATTAAATATTACATAAAGTTCAAAGTTCATAGTTTATCAAACATCAAACTAGTCACAACTTCAAAGTCCAAAAACATTACACATAACAATAATTTTAAAGTGCATATTTTATATAAAATAAAATAAAATAATGGCGGGCGGCGGGCCTAAGCGGGGTGGGCCAAAAAAGCCCGCTCCTAAACGGTCCTGTATTTTCGAAATCCGCCCCCTACCTAAGTAGGACCGGGCCGGCGGGTTAAGCCCATTTTGACGGCTCTACCCTGAATTATATACTTATAGGACTTTTTCTCCCTAAATTATTTAAGTGACTGTTTTTCCCCCTGAAATGTTAAAGAGACATATTTACCCTTAAAATAAATATCTCATTTATTTTCCTTCTCCAACAAATTATGACCACGATTTGGTTCAAACCAAACAGACACTATAGCATGCAACCAAACCGAAATATTCCAATTACAATTTAGAATTAAAACAAGATATTTAGAGTTTATTAAAATCACGAACCGGAACGGCCAGTTCATGTTCCGAATTGAAACAAATAAAATACACTTATTGTTGAATTTAGACTATTTTAAAAATAAAAAATAAAATTTTAAAATAAAGGCGGTTCAAAATCGTGAACCGAATCCAGAACCGTCGGTTCACGGTTCAAGATCCAGTTTTTTCAATTCATAATTTTAATAAACCGAAATCTAAATATTAGGTTATGGATCTGAATCATAGTCGTAAATTTTCAATTCGATTGTTATAGTGTCCGGTTCAGTTCGAACTGAAAAGTGGTCATTCCTAAGTATAAGCAATATTTTGTTGGAAAAGAAAAATAAATAAAATGTAGGGTAGAAATGTCAATTTAATATATCAGAAAAAAACCGCCACTTTTAAAATAATTGAGGGGACTAATGTGCTTACATGAATAATTTAGAAAGAAAATGTGCTATAAACATATAATTTAAGAGAAAAAAGTGCCATTTTTCCAAAAAATTATGAAACACAATCCCTCCGTTGCAATTACCAAAAAGTCAATCCCAAATTTCCTCAAAACCCAATGTTATTAATAAGTGTATTTTAAACAAAAGACTAATTTCTTTCAAAAAAAAAAAAATAACAAAAGACTAATTTCTTTCGGACCCTTTATTTTTCTTATTTTTTTAAAAAGAAAAAAGTCCATTATGTGTTTTTAATTGAATTGCCATGTTTTAGAT